CACGTACAAACACAGGTCATTACTGTTACTCTGCACTCCGCTCTTTCTCTTATCTCCTCTGTCTGTGTCTCGCTGACCTCGGTTTGCACCGTTCCTCCTTCCATTGCCATCGTCTACATCTGCCTCTTTCTTCTTCTCCAGTCACAACACCAAAACGACATCATGGCTCGATCCTCGGCTCGCAAAGAAAGCAAAGCCACCAGAAGAATGCAGGGAAGACGGTGAGTGCGAACAACCTGATTTAGTTATTTTTTTCTCTCTTAAGCTTTAGTTTATCTGAAGTTCATCGCTTGGTGTTTGTGGAAGTGTGTTGTCTCTGCTGTTTGTGTACCACTGTTGTCTGCTCCAGACTCACAGTTGCAGCCTGTTTGCTCCTCTTGAGTAAAAAGAACACAAAAACACTCAAATTGAGATGTTTGTTAGTGTGCACTGCTCCCAGCTTTCTCCACAGGTTTTGTGGGGGTGTACTCGTACAGGAAGGTTGAAACCCAGACAGACTAAACTGGGCTAATAAACTCTCCCGGTTTAGATTTGTTGCTGAGAATGGATCATTAAGCATATGATTGTCTTGCAAGATGTGCAGAGAGGAAGGTAGTTCTTTCATTAAATGTCCTTTTATTGCCTATCGGGCAAATGTTGAGAAAATAATGAACTTTAGAGCAAAACTGTATGTGCACTCAGCGAGGGGAAAATGTTTAAAGCTAGTTCAAATTCTAATTTAGAAAACGGAGATCTCTTCAGACTTTTTCAGCGTGAAAAGGTAAAGAATGTGAATATGAGAAAACTCTTTATAAACGGTAATAGGAGAAATATATTATTTGTAAAAGTGAGAAAAAAAAGTTTGGCTACTAAGGTAGAAATGATCAGACCAGGATGTGTTACATGTTCTGTGTGGTATATAGTGATAGGTGTATATGTGTGTCTGCGTCTGTGGCTAGCAGCACATCTGTGGGATCACTGTGTGAAAGGAAAGCACCGCTTGCCTCAAAAGGATGTAAACGTTATAATTATAGTTAGGACTGCACTGGTACACAGTGCTTAGCCAAAGGTATTTAGGCCACCCTAGTTGAATAGAGTTAGATCCACTAATTTGTTCAACAAAGTCAAAAGTTTGTGGTTTTCAAGTCAGAACTGAGTATTAAGCTGCTGACGGGTTTCAGATTTAAGATTTTCCAGCAACCTGTAGGGGCTGATTTATTATATTTGCATGAAAAAAAAATTCCTCTCACAAGGATTTGATTGAATCTTGAAGCTGAAGAGCAAATGCACTTCAAGGAAAAACAGGCCTTTTGTCATGTGGCAGGCAGGATTAGGAGCTGAATTTAAACACAACTTTATTGCTGTTTGCTGTCAATAGACCGAGTTAACAAAATGATGATGGAGTGGCACACGGACACGAGACGTGTGACTTTCAAAATAAAATGGGAAGTAACACTGAGACCAGGACTAAGACACACAAACCACGCAGACACGAGGATATTACTGGGAAAACAGGATGGGACCATTAAAGATAAACTAGAACACAGACTACAAACAGAGGGCAAGACTATGAGAAACTGGACACAGAAGAGAACTGGGATCATAAGAAAGAACACAATAAGCTAAAGACCAGAAACAAATAGAGAACCAGAATCACAATCCACACATTCCAAAAGAGTAAATCATGAGACCACACTGAAGATCCAGGTCCACGATGCCTTTACATTGTGTGAGGACTAAAGCAGGGACAGATGGGAAAAATGAACTTCACACATGGAGCAGGGCAGGTTGTATTCAGACGGCCTGAGAATGAGCCAAAGGTGCCAAAGGGAATGAAATGCTTCAGTTATTATTTTCTGTCATCATTAACTGAACAAAACAACTCAATAATTTAAAAAAAATTAAATTAAATTAAGACCTCGAATAAAAATGACTGGCCTGTAACCATAACTGTGTGCTTCAGAATGTATCACTCCAGTATAAAACACAGTTTATTGTGTTTTAAAGTCTGGAGAGTTCAGCTGCTCTAGTAAAGACATAAATCTTTTACAAACAAATTACCTATGGAGATTTATTGTTGGCGAAAGGGCCAATTTGTTATCTTAAAAAAGCTGGGCAGTGCAGTTTTTAGCAAACATTACTCAAACAGGAGCAAAAAGTGTATTTCTTTGGGATTATTTGCCACTGAGGATGAATACGTTTTGGCTGGTCCAGTGTAGCAGCTCCGAAACCTTTTGGTGTGTTTGACTCTCGTGATATGTTCACTGTCGGGGAGCATTGACCTGACCTGTCACTCTCTGTCTTGAATAAATGTTTCGAGGTCAAAGCAGCAACGTCTGTCCAGGAAGGAAGAAAGAAAGGTCTCAAAAACGGTGTGTTATTAGTCCTCTCTAACCTGTTTACGATTTTGTGGCCCTCGTGTTTAGAGCACGAGAATGGTGTGTGTGGATGTGTGGACGAGAGAAGAATAAGGTACAGTTTATTAGCTGGTCAGATTAGGTAATTTATTGATTTGCTGCCTTTTCTTTATACGTGTCAGCATCATTATCTTTGGGGTTTGTTTAGAAGCAGTTTTAATGAAGCAAAGCAAAAATCGACTCTGACAACACAGAAATTTTTAGGAAAGATTTGCATCCGTTATTCTGCTACACATTGAAGCGCAGTGGTGATACAGCGTGATGAGATGTATGACGATAAGGTGATCTAACGTCCCTGCTGCTGTCACAGCCGGCCACTGAATTAGTTTGTGATGTGATCCGCCAGAACAAGCTCTAAATCGATACCTTCTACCTCTCCTCTGTTCTTCATCCCTTCAGTCCTCTCCCTCACCTCACATCTCCCCCTCTCTCCCCTTTCAGTCTCTCTCTTCAGTTTCTCCTGTCTTTCCCTCACTCTCTGCCTCGCTATCGCTCTTCCTCTTCCCAGTAAAGGCCCAGACTGTGACAGGAATTCTAATAACGGCGCTCAGCTCTGCACAAACTGGCTCTTACTCTCTCCCACACACACACACAATAAGTTGTTGGTTCAGACTCTTTTCACGAACATGGCTGACAGTACTTTAGCTTTGCTGTGGAGGATGCCTGTAAAGTTTCTGTCAGATCCGATTACGACTTTATCTTTTAGAAAGGCATCAGGTCCCGTTGTGCTTAGCAGCAGCTACAATAGCTTATGGAGCTCCGTGTAATCTCTCACTGAAAATTAGTTTCATGCTCTGTATGTAAAAGTGGACGTAGGCAAAGTGGCGCCTCCCAGTGGTTTGGGAGAAACTCCAATGAACCTTCAAGTCTAACATTTCGGTGTCGCCATCTTTTTTTTGTCTTTTTTAAAAAACATTTACATACATTTCTGTGCAAAACTCTCGAGCCTGCCCCTAAAGGAAGAAGACTTTCTTTTAGTTTTTTTAAAGTCATGAACAATAGTTCTCCAGACTTGCAGGTCTTGCAAGTAGTTCTTTGGACATTGGTTGCTTTTTCACTCATTTTCAGTCCAGTCCTTGCACCTTACCATTTTCAGAGAAATGTTTTTTGATTGTTAAGCCACTTAGCACTGACCTTTGAGTCATTCAAGCATAAAAAAGGCACTTTAACTTAACAGACAGCTTAAAAAATGCCAAACATACCACAGTTTGTTTGACAGGCATAAAATTGTTTGGGTTTTTTTATTCCCCCCCAAAAACCTGTTAGCTGAAAACTTGGTATATCTCAGGATGGTGTGCAGTGTGTCTTTAAAAAAATTAGGAAACTGGACAAGTGGAGGACAAAAGAAGTGCCAGGGATATTAAAAAAGAGCAGAAGAACAGTATCTGAAAGTCATGTTCTTAAAAAATAGGAAAAAATATTGTGTGAAGACCTGACACAGATCTGACCTGCACCTGGACTTTCAGGTACACCAGTGAGTGTAAAACATGGTGGAGGCAATGCAACACTATCTGGAAGCCATTTGATTGGCTATAGCATCGTTTTTAGCATGACAATGATCCCAAACATACATGGATAAACCCCACACTGACAGAGTGGGCTTTTCTGGACACAAAATGAAACAAAAAGCAGCCAACATCCAAAGACTGCCCTTCAAGAAACCAGCAGAACTTAATTGAAGACACCCATTTTGGCTCAAGACTTTTGCACACTACTATTTTTCGAGAGGATTGACGCGCTAGTAGAGTCACCCTCTAGTGGCCATTTAAGAAACTGCAGTTTTTGACACTTTATTTTACTTTTCAGTTTCTTTCTTTTTGCCTTCACTGTGTGAAGTTGAGTTATCTTTTTTCTTTTTTTAATCTTTTGCTGTGCCTGTTTCCGTCTTCGGAGGAAGCAGTTGTTAAAGGAATTTAATGCTTAAGTAATCACTACTGGCAGAGGAATTTGGATCAAAGACTGTTAGCAGAGCGTCTGTGAAGGCCCTGGATGACACATCACGTCCTCTCACAGCACCTATGAATTAATGTCTTCCAGAAAACAGGTTTAGATGCCAGGAAATTTTCTTTTTTGGTATAAACAGCTAAGCAAGCACATGGGATGACAGAAGGATATGTAGTAGTTTAATCCAGCATCCCCATCCTTACATTACTCGCACTGTTCTTTTTTTTTTTTTTTGTAATGGTCTCCTGTAGCTCTTGGTGATATAATGTTCTGCCAAATTTTTGATGTTTGTGCAATACCTTGGTGCTCCCGCTGTAAAACGTGATAATTTAAAAGCATTTTTCCATTTTTGCCCACTTTAATGGACATGTAATTTTCAGATGATGAAATATGCATGAAAGCAAGGATATCAAATTATGCAAGGGGCGTGAATAAAACAATAAATGTGGGATGGGAACATCAAGAAGAGGTGGTGCTGTTTTTAACTGCCCCTCTGCCTGAAGGATTTCCCAGAGTCTCATAGCCTCAGGCAGGAAACAGAAAAATATTCAGACACACTTTCATCAGTGCTTTTTTTTTCTTCCTTCTTCCCTCTTGTTATTCCCTTTCCGTTGCTTCCACGTCTGGTCTTTTTGCTCCACTTTCCTTGAGCATTTCATATCCTCATTCGCTATTCCCTTTCCCTTCACTTAGCCTCTGCGTTCTTTTGCTCACATGCTGCATCTTTTGGCTGAGTTTGAGAAGATGGCTGTTTGTGCTTTATGTGTTTGCACAAATTTACAACCATTGTGTGCATTGTAATGTATGTATTTGCTGAGACTCAATCCCAGAGTTCAAAGGCTTGTCACCTCAGATCTGGTTCTTTTTGTCAATTAGTCTTTTGTTCCATAACTCAAGCACATATCCCTTCTCTCGCTCAGAGCAGGAAAAAACAGGACAAGCTTCAAGTCCCTCCAAGAGTTGTTTTGAATTCTGCCTTACATACGCAATCAATCCCTGCGTCATCTTCCAAGTAATCCCAGCGCTGTCGACAAAAACATACTGTTTATTGTCATTCAGAGGCGGGATTTTTCACTAAGGCCAACGTCACAGTGTCAAAACCGTGTTTGCAGCTAGCTGCGATAGATGGAAATGGGTTCAGGCTTGCATACAAAGAGCGCTGGAGCACACTCTCAGAGAGCGACGCTAAAAATGTTACCTCAGAGTTTCATCACTGTTATTACACTGAGTCATGTCTGGACCACGACCATTTCTCTGTCTCGAGTTTTCTCATCTTTTCACTCTCATTTTTCTGCAATCACTGTTTTATACGTTTCTGTCTTGACAGCTCTTTTGTATTTTCTGTCTATGCTGTCTAGAGCTAGACTGCAAAATGGTTTAAAAAATGCACCTGAGGAAAAATTCTCACAGTTCTACTTAGTTTTTTAAGAGGGAGTCTTCATCTGGGAGATTTTTCCAGTTTTTTAGTTTCTGCTGTTGGTCAGATAATTCGTTTTAATATGCCAGGTTTTACTATTTTGCTGATGCTGCAAATCGAATGATTTATCTGTCATTACAAATATAATTTCTAGTTAGAATGATGTTGAAAATCCTTTTTTGCAGCCCTACATGGAAATCTTGTGGAATTTGTATTTCTTTGAGTTTATTCTTGAAGTCATTGTTGGCTTCTTTGCTGTCAGATGAGTCAGATGAGTTCATTGTATCTGCTCGTGGCTTCCTGTTGGTCAGAGAGACGTTTTGTGAGAGGGAAGATGAGTCATCTAATGCAGAGGAATCACAATTAGACTTTATGTCAAGAGAGACAGCAATACACATACACACTAATGAGCAAACACAAGTGAGCCCCCTCAATGCTCACGCTATATTCAGACACACGAGGAATTTGATTTAATGTCAGAGATGATGACACATTTCAGCCATTTTTAATACACACACGCACTTCCCCCACATACACGCGCGCACACCGCAAATACTGACTCGATTGAATGCTTAAAAACACACATAAACACACACACACACACACCCCTCGCTCTCTGTATTGCCGCGGCAGGAAATAGAGACAAGACAGAGCCCTCAGCTCGGGCGAGGGGGGGAAAAAAAGAAAGACTTCCACTGGTGGTTTCCATGGAAACTGTCTCCCTTTCAGTTCAGGGGGAGGGAAAGCGACTAGTGGATGACTTAGGCTGACATTTAAGGTGGCTCGTGGACAGGGTGGTAAGGAATTTAAGGTGGTTTGAAGTATGAATCCATCAGGCTTTTTCACCTCGAGGTTTAGAAGGGTCATTTAAGGTAATGGCGGTGCGGCACGGGCGGCTTGAGCAAACAGTAAAGCAGAGGAACGATAATTGAGGCGTGCAGCCCTTTCACCTTGGGCTGCACAGTCAGCATGCTCAGCAGCAGGACACACACACACAGACTGACACATTCACACATGGATCATTTATATCTACATCACAGATCTGTTCATAAATTTATTACAACGCGGCGGGATGATGTCGCTGAATCAGTATCACACGGACCAAATAATTGTAAAAATAATAGGACTGATGGTGGGTGTGGGTGGGTGTGTGACTCTTTAAGTGGGTCAGGCTGTGTTTCGGATTTGTACTGTTTAAAAAATGTCTCTTTTAATACTTGAGTTATGTGCTCTTATGTTGCTTTGAGAAATCTAAATATGTTGTTTTATGTTCAGTGTTTTCACAACAATTTCCACAAATTTCCTCCAAATTTAATGAAACGTTCTTCTGCTTAGAGGCAGAATCAATAAATGACCTCACATTATTAATTAATCTATAAAGCAGCATGTACACACATCGACTGATTGGTTTTTGTTATAAAAACTATTGAGTGTGGAAACTCTTGTGCTTCACAGACGTTTTACTACATTACAAACTTCTTTACAGGATAAATAATCTGTAAAATCATGAGAAAATTTTGATGTTTTGAACTAAGATATTTTATGTAAATACAATTATAACAATTATATTTTTACAGGGGGACTTTTAAAGTTGACCAAAGAACCTGATCACCAAACAAATAAAATTATTATCAGCCCAGGAACTCGTTTTAAACTTTTTGTGCTTTACAGATTTTAATAGTCAGTGCTAGAAATACATTTTGGTCAGTCCTAAATTTAAAGACCAAGTCTTGAAACTATTGTGCAAACGAGTGAGGTATAAAGCAAAACCGCTAACCCACACACACACCACAGCCACACACCTTTCCGTTACAAATGCAACAGCGTTAAATGGTAAATGGCCTGTATTTATATAGCGCTTCACTAGTCCCTAAGGACCCCAAAGCGCTTTACATATCCAGTCATCCACCCATTCACACACACATTCACACACTGGTGATGGAAGCTACATTGTAGCCACAGCCGCCCTGGGGCGCACTGACAGAGGCGAGGCTGCCGGACACTGGCGCCATCGGGCCCTCTGACCACACACACACTAGGCCCATGTTTTTATTCGCCTCCCTCGGTGCTTCTCTTCTAGCCTCATCTGTAATCTGCGTGACAGTAGTTTCGTTCTTTGTTCATCACCTTTGCTTTATTAGTGGTGGAAAGTGACCGTCTACAGTCGTGTGAAAAATGCATTTTTTCACTAGACTCCATGCAGTCCTCTGAAAAACTAAGTACAACCTTGCTGCTAGAAATTACGCAGGTAAGCACCAACCAAGCACTGCTAATCAAATGCACTTGGTTAACTGATCATCAGTAAGTTTCGGCAGTTTGCTGGTTTGGAGCATTCAGGTGTGGACGTCCCAATAAATTTATCCCAAGGTCAGACCGTGTAGTGATCAGGGGAAACTCAAAATACCCAAGAGCTGAATCTCAGACTCTGCAGGCCTCAGTTAGCATGTTAGATGTTAAACTTCATGACAGCAGAATTAGAAAAAGAGTGAACAAGTATTTAAAATGTAGCCAAAATACAAACCCAAAAGACTTCTGGAACAGTCGTCAGCACGGTGCTGATAACTTGGGCTTGTTACACGGCAGCTGCACTTTGAGTCATTAAGTCCACCATTCTCATCGCATGTCAAAGTATTATAGAGTCAAATGTGGGACCATCTGGAAAAAAGCTTAAGCTTGGCTCAAAATCAGTTGTGCAACAGAACACTGCTCACAAGCACAGCAGCAAGTCTACAACAGTGACTGAAAAAGGAAAGAATCAAGGTGTTGCAATGGTTCAGTCAAAAGTCCAGACTCAACCTGAGTGAATTGCTGTGGTGGGACCTTAAGCGAATGCCTGCAAACCTCAATGAACTGATGTTGTAAAGAAGAGTGAGCCAAAATTCCTCCACAATGATGTGAGAGACTGATGAAGTCGTCCAGAAAACGATTACTTAGAGTTATTGCTGCCAAAGCTGGTTGTATAAGCTACTGAATCATGGGGTGTACTTAGTTTTTCACAGGTTTCAGCTATAAATTACACGAATGAGACTATTTAAGACCCGAAGATAAATAATACGAGAAATAGGATGAACACTTCAAGAGCACTAATGCTAATGAGACATGCTATATATCCGGTATATGTCTGAGTGGGAGGGAAACAGATGGACTGTTGCTGAGTAGGTGTGTGTGTTTTTCTATGTTAGCTCAATCTTATAGTGCAATTTAAACCCACCCTTGTGTTTCTTATAGCTTCCTGCAAGCTGAGTGCTAAACCAGAAAACCAAAACATCTTGAATTTTGCAAAAACCGGCAGAGGGAGCTCACAACAACATGTTGTACAAGGTGTGTTTGGCATGATTGTGCACCACAGTGGAAAGTTAGAAGTAAATTAGAAGAAACCCGGCATTGAGTACAGGAGTTTGTGCAGCCCCTTGACCCAGTTCCTTTATAATAGAGAGAGGAGAGATAAATCAGCGAAGGGATGGATGAAGTGAGAAGGGAACAGAACCAGAGGAGGGAGAGGAGGAGACAATTAACACAACAGCCACGGAAGCTGTCCAAGGCGAAAACAAGTGGGTGGGTGACGGAGACAAACATGAAGTAGTATGTTGTTGATATTTGGCCTTGAAGGATTTGTGCTCACGATAACAGGCGGAGAAAGAAAAGAGAAAGAAGGCAGGCCGAGGTGTCAGATGATTTAAATGTTCTTTTCCTCCCACCCTGTTTTGGGCTGACGTCTTTGTTGTGATTCGCGTCTCCATGAAGAAGCCACCACTGCAGATCGAAGTGCTGTCTGTCTATTAAAGGAGCGCTTGGGAGCGTCTAGCTGTGAGCTCGGAGATTCATGCCGTCTCCCCTCAGTGGTTCAATTTAGAGTCTACCTTCCTTCCCTCAGCTCTCAGCATTGACTGACTTCATTTCCCTTATCTGGTTTTTCTTTCCCTCAGAGCTGCCCTACGGCTGGGAGAAGATAGATGACCCCATCTACGGCAGCTACTACGTAGAGTAAGTTTCCCCGTTGTCTTTGGATAAACCAGCCACTCTGGAGTAAAACAGGAAATGCATTTCCATGCGCTACAACGCCTCGTTATGAATTATAAATGACTCAATTCCCATTTCTTTTTCATATATTACAGCTATTTCATTAAAGCTTTAAAGTAAAGCGCTTGCTTATGAGGGCTGTCCTGCAGGTTATATGACAAACACACTTTTTTTGTTGCTCTTTTTATTCAGATACAGTTTTAAGAGGCTGCTGTTTCTGTTTTGTCATTAATTTACAAAATGTGCTTATTTATATAATTTAATTGCGCCTAAGAATTACTAAAGGAATTATATTTTACACCCAAGTCATAACCATAGTCATGAAATTTAATGCATTATTAAATTTTAACAAACTGTAGATGGAGTTGCAGTTCTGATACAAATTACAGATTTGTATCAGAATTACAGACTAGATAAACTAGCTTTGTGTTGTTAAGCTGTTACAGTGATCGTGGTTGCAAACACCTGCCAGACATTAGTTTTACATCCAGCAGAAACATGTTCCACAGATATTTTCTGGCAATTTATCTCCATCCTTCTGCTGTTTTTACTTGAGGAGAGTGCTAATATTTACTAGCAACAGCAGCTGAAAATTTGACTAAGAGCTGGGCTCTCAGCAAGACTAACAACCCTTTCCTTCAAAAAGGAGTTATTTAACTCAGCAGATTTTTAAATGTTGGTGATTTAAAACGTGGAAAGCTGCTATTTTTTTTTATGAATGAGCACTCACTTTTGGCACTTGAATACCTCTGAATTCAAGGTTCACAAAAATATAAAATAAAAGCATGATTGCTGTGAACACATTTCTAATAAAGCATTGCACTGTGGTATTTCTGTTGGCTTTCAGAGAGGCTTTAATCTGTCCTTGTTCATAATTTGTGACAATGCACTGTATTTACAGTCACATCAATAGAAGGACTCAGTTTGAGAACCCGGTCCTGGAAGCCAAGAGACGCCTGGAGCAGCAGAGGCAGATGCAGAGCCAGGGACTCTCTGCTCTACCGCTGCCTACAATTTACAGAGGTACAATTCCACACCGTGTCCAGTACTTACATGAAAACATGCTGACAGGCTCATGCAGTTGCACAAATATGAAAATGCCATGACTGCAGAAAGAATGTGTGTAGCACATAGCCTTGGTCTTGAGGCCATCTCACGCTAATGCATTTTTGAAATAATTACACATTTTCCCTCCAGTGCTGAAATTCTGGATTGAATACTTTGCATTTTATTCCTCTTTTCACGGCTTATGTCATAGAGTGGGCTGTTTCACGAGTGTTTGATGGGGCAGATTAACAGTGTCACAGTGTACAGGGTCGAATGGAAATCACAGGCAGTGCGGGGGACAGAGAACATGCCAGCCCTAAGGCCCCTAGTGGTCCAGGCATGCGTATGATGACATACTACAGCAGGACATTATTACTCCTTCATCTGAGTAAAAACTGCTTTTCTCCAGCGAGATTATCAGGATATTGTATCCTCAAGTTTTGGCATTAAGAAAAAAATTACAATAGATGCATCCAGTGCTGAATAAATCATGTAAAAGCAAAAAAATGACTTAATAACACAATGTTCAACAGTTCTAGAAATGAAAATATGGTGTAAATTTGTCCCTCACAATTTTATCCAAACGCAGAGAAGCCATTGTTTACGAGGGACCCAACCCAGCTGAAGGGCACCTTCCTATCGACAGCCCTGCAGAAGAGCAACATGGGATTTGGCTTTACAATTATAGGAGGCGACGAGCCCGACGAGTTCCTGCAAGTGAAGAGCGTAATACCAGATGGACCTGCTGCTCAGGATGGAAAAATGGACACAGGTAATTATATGTAGCGTGCAATTTTGACAACTGGTTTCAAAATAAATTGAGGTTTAAACAAACTGCAAGCTGTCACCGCTGTCACTGCTGATAGTGTAATGTTTGTAGAAATGTTTAAGCACTCCCTCATTACTGTGACACCTCAGTGTTATGGACCTTTATTTTTTTTTCTCATGGCAGATCAAATACAGAGAGCTTTGTGCTGGCAGGAGTTTGAATTTTTACCTGTCTGTTGGCAGGTTCTGTCAACATGTCTGGTTCCTAAAAAAATCCACAGAAAACAGCAGTGTTAGTATTCAGTGCTTTTTTGAGTTACTGTGTAACTTTTAGCAACAAAAGTCAGAACAAATCCAGAGATTTCGTAGCATAAAGAGCAACCATTTAGATCCCGATAGCAGTGCGCACAGAGATCTTGGACGATTGGGTGAATTACTTTACGTTCTTAAGTATTCAAGTCTTTTCAAAACTCTCTTCAAAAGTCAAAGTCAGTAGTTTTCTGTAACAAGTATTTCAACACCGTGTACCTTCTAAAGTGCGGTAGAGAGATCATTGTTCCTTAAGAAATATTAAAAGATAAAAAGATATTAAGGTTGTGCGTGTGTGCAGCCTCAGCTTCGTCAGATTTATAGATTTATTTTCTTTTTTCATGTAGAAGATACAATACTGAATAAAATATATGTCAGCGTGCAGCTTAAATTCTACAGTCATTAAACTATAGATTAAGAAAATGGTACCATAGCATGAACTTTAAACCTCTACATTGTGTTAATTTCTCAATTTTTCTGTATAACTTTACAATATGTTACAAGGTGGTTGCACTTTTTCTCCTCGTTCTCTATTCCTGTTGCGATACACACACAAGTTTTAAGTGTTACTGTTTCCATCTCAACAAAAATATAAGTGCCCCCTCCAGTTAGGTTAAGCCTGGTCTAAGTGGGTGATAAATGCAATCCATTTTGGCCACAAGTCCTTAAACTTATCTTGCTGTAGTTTTAAAGAAAAGGACAGTCGTTCCATTATGTAGGTGTCATAAAGGATTTTTAACCAATTTTCAATTTGTGGTGCATCAGGCTGTGGCGGCTTCAGCGAGTAGTACTCTCATTAAGTATTTGTCTTCTTTAGTTTGAGTGTTCCCGTGTGAATCGAAACCTTATCACAGTGGAGCGGTTTGCGCATTCCAGTGATCCCAGGAGCTATGCTGTAGGGTCTCCCAGGGCAAATTGGTCCTGGATGAGAGAACAGAGAAAGATTGATTCTGAAAACCCCCATGATGACAAAAAAAGGGTCCGGTTTACCTATCCTGGGGCCAGGCTCGGGTTAGGGGAATGACATGAACCCAGATAAGTAGTAGCTTCATGAAATAGCTACACTGTCTTGGCATCAAATGGAGTTGTGGTCCTAAATACTGATTCTAAATATTTGTGGATTTTTCTCCACAATGACTTCAGTTCTGGACATTTTCAAAACTAATGGTAATGGTTTGTTCCTCATGATCCGCGTACAGTGCATAGAATAAAGCACTATATGAATATGAATGTATGGCGGAGTGGTCGTAAGAGCACAATAATATAAATGTGTTTAGTTGCGAGTTGATTCCAAGTAGCGCAGGCTATTTTCTTTCCATCAACCATACCTGTAACATACCCACATCTAAAAGGACTTTTACAGTCATATACAAAATACCAATAGGAGGCACAGTTGGTCCTCTGTGGCAAAATATACAGCTCTCTGTCTCGGTTTTTTATACGAGCATGTGTTATTAAGGTCAATGTCGTTTTCTTCCCGTGATTCCTGTGTTTTTCTTTATTAAAGTCTTCTTCAGTTTCTCTCAAATCCAATTCAAGTCCAGTTATCATTTATTATAAGTCCCCTGTGATGTATAATAAATGGTATCAATATATAGAAAAAAATTGCCTGTGTACCCCAAGATTCCTGGAAATTTAAAATCTATTGCTATTGTTTCCACATCCACACAAATAAGAATTCATGGGCATCATTTGTCCTTGTTGGCATATTTGGGATGCCCTATATTTATGCCTGTGGCACTGTACGTCCCAGACAAGGACTCCAGTTTCCTCCCAGTACACCCTGTCCTCTGTCAGTGCACTGTAACATCTTCCTTTTAATAAGATGGAGAGAAAAAAGGTTTGATTGGCCATAACTGACATCAGCCCACACACCACCTACTTCATTAGGAGATTCAATCTGCCTTGATAGCCAAACAGCAGGAACACAAACAGTCCAGGTAAAATAATTTGTACACAGGTGTACCAGTGTCAGACACCCCCAGACATGTGTTTGTGCTTTGATTCGTAAACACAAACGAGCAGCAATGCTGTCTCACGTGGCTCGCTTAGTGGCTGGAAAGAACCTGCATTGCTGTGTGTGGAGAGGTACAGATTGGATCCTCGGAGCAGCCAGTGTGTGTTTTCATTCCTGGTGTCCTTGAATAAAGTCCTAAATCCAGTTCATTACTAGTATATTGTTGAGGATGAAAACGCAGATTCCATAGGTTATTTTAAACTTCACACGCAAAAGCCAGTTTTTAGGTTTAAGATAAAAAGCCAATGTTAGAAAAATCACAGTAGGCCACCGTCACAGGATCAGAGGAGGACAAGCTTCATGTGTGCTCTCTTCCGAACCTGCGAGCTGGCCTCATGCCTGGCACGGCCGGTGCCTAAACTGCTCATTTAGAGCTCATTTCAGAGCTGGGATTCCTCCTTCCTGCTTTCAGCTCCTGCTCTGTGCTTTTATGTCTCTCCCTCTGCCTATCAGTTTCTCTTTTATCTGGATTCTATCTCTTTCTGTTTTATCTCCATCTCTCTTTGTCTCTGCAGCTTACCCTTTATTATGCTTCCTTATCTAACCATGTCATCTGACACTTCTCCTCTGTTTTCAGCCTCAGTGTGTTTTCATCCATGTTCTCTTTCTACCTCTCTGGTTTTTCCTCTCTCCATCCCTCTCTCCTGGTCTGTCAGCCTCCCCCCCTCCTCTCTCTCTCTCTGTTCTGATTTCTGTTCTCTCCAACTTGCTCCTCTACACTCTGTGACATTGCCAGAGCGCACACACATTCACATTCACACTCGCACACAGTTGCACGCAGACACTCCCTGGCTGAGATTAGCTGGCCTATTTGAGCTGTGCAGCATTGCTCTTAGGGATTGTGTACGATTGTGCATGCGACATGTATGGTGTATGTTTGTGTGTGCGCACATGCTCATGGGAATGTGTGCGTGTCTGCATGTGTGACAGAGAGCGCCGCTAGAAGTGTGAAATAGAGGATTTGAGGCAGCTGTATTTGTCATGGGGCTGTGGATTTAAAGCTGAAATCCATAACTTTCCGCACGTTCAAACTACAGCAGAGATGACGGAGTATCTAGTGTCGTATTTGTGAAGTTATTTCACCTCTTTGTTATTGGTGTGCAGAAAAAAAATGTTATCAATCAACCAGGCAGAGCAATCTAAAGTTCTAATACTGAGGAGACACCACCAGCCAGGATGGGTGTGCTGAAGGAAACTGAACACACACATATACACACACAATCTTTTAAACAATGGTACTCACGCATTTTGGGTTTTCGACTGTGAGATGGAGTCGGAGGGTTATAATGCGCAGTGCATGAGACTGTAGGTATTTACACATTTGAATTTTTGAGATTTTCTGTCAATTTGCACAAATCATACTCATCAAGACTCTGACCCCTGTCTCATCTCTCTGTCTCACACATACACTTTGGTCGCCTGCTGTGGCAGTGGACTGATACCATGATACTTGTGTGGCACTTTTGAGAGGCGAACTTGTTCTGATGCCGCAGAGAGATGAGACCTTTATTTTTACTGCACACTATGTCATACATGAGCCGCTGACAACAGATCTTTTGGTTTTCTCTGCATCTACTGTGACATTCTGCCATGTGACTGAGGCTGCTCCTGTCTCCTCCCTCAGGTGATGTCATCGTCTACATTAATGACATTTGCGTGCTTGGCACGACGCACGCCGATGTGGTCAAACTTTTCCAGTCTGTACCGATCGGTCAGAGCGTGACCCTCGTGCTCTGTCGAGGGTATCCCCTGCCCTTCGACCCCGAGGACCCAAGCGGTGCGGCCAGCGCTTCCCTGACGCCCATTGGGCTGGAGCACCGCCCGCTGGTGGTGAATGGTCGCGGCAGCTATGACCCGTACCTGGAGTACCTGTCGCTGAGCTCCCAGCTTCCTGGTCAGGCTCTGGCCCAGGCCGGAGCTTCCCATCCCGGAGACACACATCTGGACGGCTCATCCCTGCCGCCCACCACGCCCGGCTCGGCATCGGCGCTCACACCTCACAATGACAACGTGTCAATGGCCTCTTCTGGGACTGGGGCTGTTGCCGGGGCAACAGCACAAGGGGCAGAGCTGCTAACAGTTACCATGGTGAAAGGAGCAGAAGGATTTGGGTTCACCATCGCCGACAGTCCTACCGGTCAGCGAGTTAAACAGGTGAAGTGTCCCAACGCCGCCTCCTCAATCAGTGAACGACTTCAGACCTGTTTAATATTTTAATTGTAATTTTTATTCAGCTTTTCAGGAATTAAATGTGTTCTTTCAAGTGCAAACTCTCCGCAGTCGGCTAAAATAGTCGAGCTGACTTACAAATTAAACTTGAAGTAGAGTTACGACAGCAGGTCAGAGAAAATTTAATTTGGTCAACACAACGTGGTAGAAAGAGATCGAGATAAGAAGAACAAAGTGAGCTCACCCTGTGTTGGGTTTGCTATCTACTAATGTGGTACGAATCAAGTCTCCGGAAGGTGTGGAGCAAAAAGGGGGAAAATTCCCACCCTGCATACTTAAATACCTGGAAAGAAGGAACAGATATAAATTAGAGTCGCTGATTGGGAATGTGACAGATGCTAATCCTCATCCCAGTTGTATGTGTACAATAAAACATCTGCACCACAATATACATCTGTCTCCACCAACATGACAGCATCTGTGCTTTTCCCCTTTTGTTTTAAGAATTTCTTAGTCTTCTTGAATCGAAGTAGCTCAGATGGCTGTTCCTATAAATCTTTAAACAGTACAACATGTGCGGTGAAGATTTTAGAATTTAGGTCCCACTGTGGGCAATTGCAGCTTTCCACTGTAACCCATTTTTATTGATTGTGGTTTACAAAAGCAGTTTTATGTTTGAGATTGGAAGGTACCATGAAGCCAAGTGTAGTAACGGTGGATGATGATGTGGTGCAGGTGCTAGACGCGGGCTCACAGGGAGCATCGGGGCTGGTAGAAGGAGACCTGATCCTGGAGGTAAACCAGCAGTCAGTGGCTGCAGCTGGACATGGACGAGTGGTGGAGATGCTCAAAGAGTGTCCTGTGGGAGCAGAAGCAACACTCCTCATACAGAGAGGAGGAACAGGTGAGAGAGACAACATTTACCTTGTTTCTTTTGACTGTTTCTCACTACAAACACACTCTTTCTGCAAAAACAAATCTAAATAAAAAAAGCTTGTAAATGGCACCGAATTAAAATCTTCCCAAATAGAACAGAACAGTAAGTGAAAGTTAAACTCAGTTTGATTCATATAGTGTCAAATAACAATAGTAATTTCAAATGTTTTATTAGAAAATAATGTGAATATTGTTCAGAGTAAAATTAAAGTCACTCTTAGACTTTGCACAAAGGTTTTATTCTCAATTCAGGAAAGAAGTTGTAATGTCAGTGTAATGTAGGACAAGCTACTATCAGGTAAATATTGGGAAAAGGTATTAAAGAAACCTTTTTGTTGTTGGGATGAAATAATGAACAACTCTGACATAATAATGAATATGTCAAATTCAGTTATGTCTTTCAAAAGAGATAATGTACAAAACTATTTGGCTACATGGGTACAGGTGTAAATAACTTTTACACTTTTTTTGTTCTTGTTGTTTTATTTTTCCTTTTTCCTCCATTTTGGATACTAGGAAAGCTGTAATGAGTAATGTATGCCGGGCAGATTTCTCTGCCCAGTCTTAATAAAAATAAACTTACTGAACTAACAAGTCACTTAATATAATATTAGAGTATAAAATAGTAAATTTTATAAAGATAACCCTTTTAACAGAAGGAATCCTCGGCCAGCACCAGGGTCAGGGAGGTGCAGCCATCTGCCACAACGGCTTGGATTTAAGGGAAAAAGAGGCAGCACACGGAGAGAACACAATAAAACATGAATTGCAGGGGAGAGAAGACACAAAGTTAATGAAATGCAGTCGTGCCATATAAATGCATAAGAGGCCACCCTGCTGCATTTAGCTAACAGATACTCGCCGAACTAGAAGCTGTAAATGAATGGGGAGTGGAAAAGAGGGGCGTGGACGAGCCTCTTCTTCTTCATGGGAGCTCCTCAAGCAGCCTGAGACTTGCACAACTGCTATGAGATTTATCAAAAGGATTTTTTTAAAACTCTAATCTAAAATCTAGAGAAAGTGTCTGTCTCTTGAATTTACTCTGGACCGAATCAGTTGATGAGTTTGTAAACTGGTAGTATTTTCCCTGTGATTTGGTCTCTTTTCACACAGAAGAAAATCCAGATGAATTTAAAGTGAGCCAAAATGCGTCATTACAAATCACATGAGAATGTTCAGTCCGCTCATTGGCCAGATGTGTCTGGGAGCAGAAGCAACAAAATAAATATATAAATAATATAGGAAGAAGGAGCTCTGTTTTGGACTATCGGAGAACATGGAGAATTTATGTTGATTTCCCAGCTAGTTGCTTGCCCGTACAGACCTTTGCACATCTATTGAACATTCCCGCATTGAAAATACAAAGCATAAGTGGCTACAGAAAGTTTTTTAGCTCAAACTTGCAATGTACCCCAGGTAGTTGGTTGTGATCACATTAGCACCATAAACAAACTGCACTGGAGTTCACCATCTCCTCCAAAGAGCCTCAGTGTGGCCGTTTATTATGTTCACACCTGAACAAACAAAGGGAAAAAATGAATGAGAGTTCAGTTTAAACGGAACAAACACTGCAGATGTGAAAGCACCCTTAAACTGGGAATTTTGCCACTGGAAATGTTCTACCTCTGATCCTGCTTTTGGAAACTTTGGGAACCACCTATCCATCAATTTTCTTAACCACCCATTCATTTTAGGATTGCCAGCGGCTGGCACCTGTTCCATCTGAACCCGAACCAGAGCTGGATTACAACCGGGTTAGGTCGCCAGTCCGTCATAAGGTGCAAACACAGAAGTCCATGGGTAGTTTTGACTCACATGCTTGTCTTTGGACTGTAGTAATAAAAACAGGAAGACTGAGCCAAGACTGACCAAAAACCATCGTTGTGTGAGGCAGCAGAGCTAACCACTGCACCACTGTGATTACTGTTTTTAGCCAGAATGATCAAATTGGTTATAGTGAAAGTCCAGCAAGTTTCTCCTCTTTTAATGCCCTCTTTAATCTCTTTAAGTTTGCAGTGGTGACAAAAACGATTTCACTCCAATTAATGCAGAATCACATGTGATATTTTGTTACTGTTCATAACTTAGAAGAATAATTAAAGAAGAGTCCAGTGCAAGAGCAGCTTCCCGCTAAATGTAAGCTGGTTTCTGGCTTTGACGTGCACAAACATCGTTTTGCTTTGCATCGTCACCTCCAGCTGCAGCTTTGCAATAGAGAAGTCAAGTAGAGTTGACAGTGAGCACTGAAAGAGCTAAAGAGATTTTGATTATGATGATTTCGAGACCTGTTCTATTTTTAAACTCGTTCAAGTAACACGGCCTATTTATTCGGATTTTATTCAGGTCTTAAGATGAGATTTTATTTTTGGAATAATAAATACTTTAGAAGCTGGAAGAATAATTTTGTCTGGTGCAAATTATCTGTTGGCAAGGGGGGGGGGAATGTCATAAAAAGTGAAACAATTCAAATGTATTTCACATTGTGTCGGTTAAGAAAATGAAACTTTAATATCCACCGTGGGGAAATTTGATCAATGCAGGTACAAATGGCTGCAGGACAGATTATTAGAAATGATATAACCTAAGGATGCAATGAACAATATGTTGTTTAGTGTATTTCATATGCGGTGACTCATCCAGTGAATACACATCAATATTACAGATCAGGAAAAAAGTGTCAGCAGATGTCACACTAAGTGTTTTGTGCATCGCACCATGTGTTCTCAGCGGTTTCCAAGTGCAGCTTTATCACCAACATGTCATCGATGTTTTCCAGTGAAACAGAACAGAGAGGCATGAGGGGGATTTGACATGGAGGGAGTTTTAAGATACAGCACATCAAATGTAAAATGAAGTGGGGAGTTGGGATGAGAGGCGGCGTTAAACTCACCGTCAGGTGTAGCGCGACTCTCTGTGCACAGATGGCACCGGCACTGTTGTGGGGAAAGCAGTTTCATTCCCACTGAGGCCACTCATCTTCAGAACAAATGCAGTTATTTTACTGCAATGTGCTTTGGACAGAAATTACTGGAGAGTGTCATCTAGCTGGCAAACAGGATGAACTGGATGGTGTGATGCTGTTTGGCTGAATATACTGACTGTGCTCACACGGGCTGCAAAACCACATTTTTACCGTTTTGCTGAATACAAATCTAGTTTGATGTTATGTTAGGTGAAGGAAAGCGGGACAAAAAGAGAATATATGGAGTCTTATTACTGGCTGTGATCTGTTTTCCTGTCCATTGCAAAACTTCCATTGCTTTCTCACAATGGCACAGGCTTTTATCCTATTAAACAAGCATTTAAATCTGACTTATTAGACTGTTGGCTCTTTGTATTTTGACAAATTTCGGGGCTAGTGAGGTTCCACAATACCTGGAATGAGCTGCTGTTTTCCACATATAATGCTCCTGTACATGTTCAGTGAAGGGAGAAGACAATCGCACACCCTTGGTGTGAGAAAATAAATCAAAATGGAGTTATAAAGGCGGCGAGAAAGGGGGCTGAGGAGAATTTCATGGTGTTGAAGCTTGAAGTATAGATTCTTGCAGTTCTGCCAGGACTGCATGGAGTGTGGCTATTTTCCCACTTTTTGTAGTTCCTGTATGTTTAGCCACCTGCAAGGAAATAAAATTGCACAGTGGAAGCTGCATTTGTTGACACGTACTCTTGCTCTGATTCTCTCGGAGGTGTTCAGGTCACAGGTCAGCATTTGACTTGATAATTCCCCCCGGGCTGCCTATACCATTTGCCTGAAACACACACACACACACTAAACTACACAGCAGTTAAATATGGAGCACTGTTGCTCATGAAAGTGAAGAACAACAAAAGTCATCTTCTGTTGTTTAGCCGTTTAAAGAGAAAACCTCATGAGCTCATTGTGTTTTGAATGAGGCGTGCAGCATCTTTGAAGTTCACATTTTAATGCTTGTTTTTGTCATTATGTCTGTAGTTTCTCCAGAGATAATTTGCCAGGAGTTCAGAGTTAATATGCTTTGTTTCTGAGATGATATCAAAACAATAATGAGGAATTATGGCGATGCCCTCGTTTGCATCACCCTTTTCGCGAATTGTATTTAATTAGGAATGAAGTCAATCAGTCTCCTATGCGTCTAAGGTTTAATTAATTGAAGTGTGGCACGAATTATGATTGCAGACCTGACAAGCCATCAAAGACATTAGTTCTTAGCGATCCTGATACATCAGACTGTCTGATGTAAGTGCTGCTGGGCGGTTTGCTGATTTTCATGCAGGTCCTGATTGCTTTGAATACATTATTGGCAATAATTGGAGATCTATAAGGATGATGTCTGTATGAAATGAGTACAAATGACTAAAGTGCTTTCAGCACGAACACAGAATACACCAGGGTATGCCGCTGCATGTGTGGATGTATATGTGAGCCACTCAGATCAAATGCTGCGATGCTCCCCGTGGCGGCCCAACCGTGCAGAGCCAACATCTGCCACCTGGAGGTCAGCCGTTGCAAAAACACTGCTTCAGATACAACATTTATGCACACGCTAATGCAGAGTCACATGTAGATACACAGTTGCAAAGTATATCTTTCTGAATAGATATCCCTCTAGATGCTAGGCTGAATGTGGCAGATTACCCCCCCCCCCCAAAAGATGCCATCTCCTCACAAACTCACCAGTTTCTGTCAAACAACTCAAGACAACAACCCCACAGGGGCTATCAGCCTGACACACCAGGAAGCTCTCCGGCTCTCTCTGTGCCTCTCTCTTCTCTGCAGGGTGAAAGAGGGGACAAGGTCCTTTACAGTGACTCAGTTGTGCAAAATGTCAGGAATGTTTAAACATGTTTGAGTTCTCAGATGAAGAATTTTTGTGCAGAGCATCAGTGAGATTTAGGCTGACCACATGATTTTAGATGTGTGACTGAGTGCATTAGAGCCCTCTGTAACGGAGACACAGTGCTAGACTTCCTCTGCATGTATGACTGTGTGTGTTGTGTGTGTGTGTGTTGTCTGACTGCTTGACTGTAGCGTGGGCACACTGCCAGAGCTGCACGGAGCTCTGGTCATGTTCACAGCTCCGTCCCCTGACATCCCAGTTTGAAGCAGAGCCAACCACAGACCAGAGACATGTTGCAGCACCAATGAGGATGCATACTGAGGCTGGAAAGAAAAAGGTGTCGGGCTGCACAAGCCAATCAGGCTAATCTGAAGGCCATCCAGAACTCAGCAGGCTAGTCTGTGATACTAGCCTGCCAGACTGTTTGACCACTGACTTGTGAGAGAGACCATGTGAAGCCTCCTAAAAGTCATTCATTTGTAATTCATCAGCATGCATACGAGTGCGCCACACATGCTGGTGAATTATATTAGCATTTAAATGTGCTTAAATGTGTCTGTAAGGATGATGGTTCTCTGTAATATGAGTGGACAATTGCCTTGTAGCTCATTTCCTTCAGTGGGTCATTAAGGAAAGTTTTCTGAAAAGGACTTATTAGAAGTTCTTAAAGGCTTCCCTTAAGGCCCGTATTCCCTGCAGAACGTGGTTATTAGTCCCAGCCTCCCAAAGAGCCCTCCCTCCGCCGCCGCCACTGTGTAGCACCATGGATGGCGCTCATCAGTGTTTATGGGAGCGTTTTAATTCTATTTCCCTCTTCCACACTCTCAGATACAGCTAGGATGGATGACATTTGGTTTTGAAATGGAAAATATTTCCAGGTTGCAAAGATGCTTTTAACTGGGCAAATGGGGGAGGCAGGATTCAAAGTGGGGGAAAAAGTGAAAGGAAATGAATTTAAATTTTCATTTTCACTTCATACTGACATGCAGTGATTTGTCGTATTTAGTTGTCCTCGACTCTCTCGCGCTCTCTGATTTATTTTTATTTTGTTTTAATTGAAAGCTCTGCCGTTCTGTTTGTTGGTACATGTTCTGGGCTTCATCTCACAAATCTAAAAAGCAGTGAGACAGTAATTATTTATGGTTACATTTGACTGTTATCATAGTGATATTGTCATTGCATCCTATTCCATTTGTTGTTAAGGAGCACGACCAGAATTATTGAAACCATGTGCGATGAATTTGAAATTTTGTTGCCTTTTTTAAACGGTCTCTTCGAGAATGAGGACCACGTCTGTGACTACTGGCAGTCAGTTGCTGGCTTCAAAGTGACTTAGGTGTGTCAAGATCGCGGCAATAAGAGTCAGTCTTTTATCACTTTGCAGTTTAATGGGGTTGAGTTGGAAATTACATGCAATCTGTTTGTGAATATACGGCATTTTACTGCAATAAATCAATGAACAACTGCTAATCTCTGGCTGTCTACATGCAAAGAAATTCATGTTAAAAAAAAGAAACTCACATTAACTGCTTACATTCAGCATCAAGCCAGAGCCTCATGGATCTGAAACAGAAATTCAACTCTTCCACAAATACTGACGTAGTTGCTGCAGGACTGCACTTTGGCACTTTGACGGTAATGCTTGATATATAAGCAACCAGACTAAATATAAATATAACCAGAAACCAGCTGTTGCAGAGAGACATGTTGCAGACAAGTTGCGTTCACTGGTGTAGACTGACTTAGATGTGTTGGCAATCTGTCTGCATTTATAAATGATGGCAATTATTTGCAAACCTTCACCAATCTGTCTGAGAGTGACTGCAGTCAGTCAGCAGTTATTTGGGGACAGGTTGCTTCCCACCTGTGTAATCGCTTTGCGATTGACATGGTCACCACGATTGCTTGCAGCCGGTTGCTGAATGTAAAAAATATTCAGTGGAGTGACCATCAAACACCATTTCCCCCACCCCCAGTCACAAGGAGGCTGCTGTCCTATTTTTGCTCTGATGTGACTGAGCCATTACTGAAAAATGGCAGTGCCACCATATGGTGATGAATACTGCAAAATGTTTTGGCTCATATCTTGGGAATTGTGAGATGTGCAGGAAAAAAACTTTTGTGTGTGTGGATTTAGTTTAATGCACTGAGGAGACTTGTTTATTGGCTACATTTCCGCCAACCATCATCAGACTCATCACGTCTAGGGGGCACTACAGTAGTGTAAACAGGTTTTGTTTTTTTGTTGTTGTTGTTTTTAAATCAGCCCTAGTGAAGTAGTCACATAATCAGGATCCCTTCACATTCTCCTGCGTGCTGTCAGATGCAAAAACACCTGTAATTCTCAGTTACCCAACAGGTTGAAAGCTGCTTCAAGCAAGCTGCATCAGGGTTCTCCAGCAACTGCACATTTTTGTTCCATAAATACAGCATATTCCACCCGGCGCTCCCTGACATTTCTCAGAAAATCTTAGAAACTGTCAGATATTAAGCACGCTTGGATTCTCAAAAGAATACTTTCCAAGCGCCCACATCAGATGGAGGATTTTTTGTTTATGCATTTCTATCCTCAAGTGTAAAGATTCAGTCTAAATGTTTGTACAAGGCAGCTACTGTACATTTTCTCCATGTATAAATGTATGTATTTGGGTCTTAGCAGCATAAATGTTCTGTATGTCTTTGACTCAGAGGAGTCACAGGGGAGCTGTGGCGATGAGATTGTTGTTGTGATGTAGAGCTCTCCGTGCTTCCTGCGCGCGGATAATACACAACTTTCACAGCAAATAGTGTGTGTTTGCGGGTTCGTGTGGAGGGGCGGGGGCCTGTGCTTTCGCCTGCAGCTAATGATGTAATTATGCTGAAAACAAACGCAACAACCAAACCCGTTTAAGAAGAGTTACACAAACAAAGTCAAAACAGAGAAATATGAAAACAGCAAACTGCGGATTTTTGTCACTCATTAAGGGAAGATTTCTGATTTTTATCTCATCAGCAGAAAGGCTTGTTCTCAGATCTTCGTCGTTTTGTTTTTTCCCGTGTAGTTGTGTTTCGTCGATTCTTCTGTTTTTCCTTAAAAATGGAACAGATTATTTGAGTTTGTTCTGTGTTAACTTTGTTTTTCTTCCTCAGGCCACATCTCTCCATGGAAGGCCTCCAAACAGGTACGGGGATTGAACTAAATGTGTTTCTGGCTGTGTGTTAGGGATCAGCACTGGTTGCAGAGACTGTGTTACCTCAGAGGTGTTTGGCTTTTACTTTATTGTAAAAAGAGACATCCTCCCCTGAGCTGCTTATTACTTTGATCACTTCAGAAGGTACATCGCACCAGCTGGGGGGGAAAAAAAAACCCTCTTCAGGTTGATTTTTAGACTACCTGTTGCTGGCCGAACAATCTGTTCTCCTTTACATTAAACAGCACATTCGGATGTGGTGATTGTCACCGCATTTAAGTTTGAAATATGATTGTTAATTTAAATTCATAATAGTTATTTTTCTTTACTGGATAATAACACGTGTTCCTTCTCAACATTATTTTCTGCATATCTGCACACACACACTCACATCCTTCAGCGTTTAGAGAAGAACACAGATTTCCTAATTTTGCCTCTACAGTGAATTTAAAATGAGGCAATCAAGATGTGATTGAAGTGTAGACTTCCAGCTTTAATTCAAGGGCTTTAAAGAGTTATAGCCATTTTACGGTCACCCCATTTTCAAAGGCTCCAAAGTTAACTGGACAAACTAATCATAAATAGAAGATTTCTCTCTTTTTTTTTTAACACCTAGATGCAAATTCAGAAATGAAAAACTGACTTCATAAAGGCTAAATGCTGCATTTCCTTCACAAAGGAGGACGATGCATTGCTAGTCTGTACTGCAGCTGCTTGTTGGTCCATAGTCTGATCAGTTAATATCTTGTGACTGTCTCTGCCATTAAATAGCATTTTATTTCTTTATATTAATAGGTTTTTAACGTGAGTGTATTTTGGGTCATTATTCATCTGTACTGTATTTATCTTTGTGTAACTTCAAATTAATTCTGCTATTTCAGTCAGCAGCCACATCATCAATAAACACTGACTGTGTGTCGATGCCAAATCAATGCCTCCACCATGTTGGATAGAGTGAACGAAGGCCTTGGTTTACATTTCCACGCTTCTCTCTTCTTTCATTCTATGGGGCGATCGTGGCTCAAGAGTTGGGAGTTCGCCTTGTAATCGGAAGGTTGCCCCAGGGTGGCTGTGGCTACAATGTAGCTTGCCATCACCAGTGTGTGAATGTGTGTGTGAATGGGTGGATGACTGGATATGTAAAGTGCTTTGGGGTCCTTAGGGACTAGTAAAGCGCTATATAAATACAGGCCATTTACCATTTACCATTTCATTCTAATAAATCTTTTTAGTGTGCAAAAGTCTTGACTAATGTCTAATCTGATCTTGCTGTTGTTAAATCTAACCAGTAGTTTGCAGCTTGTTGTAAACTCTGTTTACATGCATGAAGGCATGAACATTCACATATCTACAGCGAAGTAATCTGCCTTGGTTACAATGTTTGGAATTCCCTCTGTGATCATGAACTTTAGTTGTCTTCTGTTATCTTTTATGCTTTTTGGCGTTGCTGAGCTGGCTGAGCTTTTAAAATGAACCAGATCGTAGAGTAAGCACTCGACCCCAAGCTAGTGACGGCTTCCTTCACTTACTTTGACACCTTATTAATCAGCACATTGTGAGTGACCGCGAACCATCAGAAAATCTAACCCTCATAAACAACATTGGACCTTTTATCTATATGGTAAATGGTAAATGGCCTGTATTTTTATAGCGCTTTACTAGTCCCTAAGGACCCCAAAGCGCTTTACATATCCAGTCATCCACCCATTCACACACACATTCACACACTGGTGATGACAAGCTACATTGTAGCCACAGCCACCCTGGGTCGCACTGACAGAGGCGAGGCTGCCGGACACTGGCGCCACCGGGCCCTCTGACCACCACCAGTAGACAACGGGTGAAGTGTCTTGCCCAAGGACACAACGACCGAGACTGTCCAAGCCGGGGCTCGAACCGGCAACCTTCCGATTACAAGGCGAACTCCCAACTCTTGAGCCCCGATCGAACCCGTTATTTTATCTCCTTAAGTTACCGTATCATAAAATAACAAAGACTGACATTTAACTGTCTGGTTACCTTTAAGCCTGTTAAAATGAGAAAACTGTCCCAACCATTTAGTCTGTTATTTTTATTAAACCCTGTGAATTAAAGCTGAAAGTCTGCACTTCACTCACATCTTGATCATTTCATTTCAAATCTACTGATGAATATCTCCAAAGGCAAAATTTCAAAAACTGTGTCTGTTGTCTTTAATTCTGTTGCCTTGACATAGCATTCATTACTGTTTGAAAGATCATAATGCCCATGTTCAGCCTATTGTGTTTAGATATGGAAAGTTAAACCCGCAATGCAAAAACAGTCTTTTGTGTCCAGCACTTAAACATTTGATGTGTTTAATCCTGAATACTTGGCAGAAGGAGTTTTGAAGTCTTCATAGCGACATATTTGAACTATTATTTATAGTGATAATTTATAATAAAATGATAATAATAAGTAATGATTAATTTAAGACAAACAATAAAAATGAATAGGCAAAACTGAGTTAAGTTAAAAAACTGTTGTTGGTGCTTCCTTCTAGTTACCTGACCAATGGGATCCACACAGCAGCCCTCAAGCAAATCTGTCTGGTCCAGTATTGCCGCCTGGTACGCCCTTCCCAAACCAGCCACAGCACCGCACTTCTGTGCCTGACTCCACCGAAGGCTTCGACCTTAACAAACCCGACCCGTATGACCTTTATGAGAAGTCGAGGGCCATCTACGAGAGCAGACGTGAGTACGGAAAACTTTATTTTTTAGTTTAAGGCGGAAAATCGAGCATTGTTTTAACCGTAAGCTCCTGTGTGTCAGGCCCGGAGTACGAAGAGGTGGAGGTGCACCTGCTGAGGGAGAAGACTGGATTCGGCTTCCGCATCCTGGGGGGAGACGAGGCCGTGCAGGCTGTGAGTCCGGACGCCCGTGACAAGGCTCGTATGGGACGGGCTGGACCACACTCATATTTTAACCTCATACACACCAGCCTCATCTGACTTGCACTTAATCTTGTCTCACACTCTCCATCCAGTCCCAAACATCTGACCAAAACAGCCTCCAGACACACACACAGACTTGCACACAAGTGGCCTTCTCACACTTTGCTGACCCTCTAACTGCTCAGTGCCTCCCATACTGAAGTAACGCCTTGCTAACTTGTCCACGTTGTACAACAGCATGCAGTCTATGACAGAGAAAGAATGTGACATAAGGATATAAAGAAGGTGAAAAACTGTTACCATGACCCAAAGGTAGTTTACAAGCTAAGTAAAGCAACTGTTGTGTGCTTCCACTTGTCTTCGACTCATCTCCTTCACCCAAATCTATGCTGCTAATATTGATTGTCTTTGAACAGATTGTCATTGGCGCTATAATAGAGAACACTCCCGCTGAGCGCGACGGGCGGCTTCGACCCGGGGATGAGCTCATTTCTGTGGATAAAAATGTGGTTGCTGGGAAACCGCACAAATACGTAATAGACTTGATGCACGCAGCCGCTCGCAATGGTCAAGTCAGCTTGACTGTGAGAAGGAGAGTGCAAATGCCTGGTGAGGACATGTTTTGTTTGTTGATTTTTTTTTTTTTCTGTTCTTTTTTGTTTTGTGTTTTTGTCTTTTTTTTCACACTTGACCAAGATTGGAGAACAGGCTGCACATTTCACTGGCATCAAATTAAAAAAACACAGCTTGGACACAGCACACATGCTAACAGTCTGCACGCAGGATCTCTGTGTACTTCTCACCCACACATCCTTTCTGTGGTAGTAGATCATACATACATTTATCCTTTGTTCATTGTCAGCTCTGCAGCAGCAGGCTCTGTGGTTTGTGTCTTTCTGGGTGCGCTTCTCCCGCAGGGGCAAGCGGTTACAAAAGAGTCATAAATGACAAGCAGAGAAGCCAAGTTTGACTTTGACACAGAATCCCTGCTGGGATTGAAGAAGACCACTGTTGTTTTCATTTTTGTCAGCGGCTACATCTTTCATCTTTAGCTGCTTTTGTCGGGAAACTGTGAAAACTCAATGACCGCCGTGAGCGGACTCATCTCGCCTGCTCTCGTCCTCTCCTTCAGGTGAACCGTGTCCCGTGAACGGCCGCAGCCCCGGCTCAGTGTCCACGCAGCACAGCTCTCCACGTAGCGACGCAGCTTCAGCTTCGGGCCCTCCAGTGGTCGCTGCCCCGGTTGCCACTTCGCCACCGGAGGGATCTTCCCTGCAAACCAGCGATGTGGTTATTAACCGCAAGGAGAACGAGGGCTTCGGCTTTGTCATCATCAGCTCCCTGAACAGACCGGAAAATGCCACCGTCATCAGTGAGTTACAATGACTTGCATCTGTCAGGATCCCAGAAGGTCATTCCTAAAGATAAATGGTGATTTTTACATCCTGATGAGCAATCATCCTAAAGATGGTGGCTGTGCAGTCGCCTTTTTAGTTTTTGCTGCTGTATCTATTTCATGAGGAAAAATGCAAATGCATAATTTAATCTCAAACCAACACGGGCCTCCTGCTCGACCAGCATAAAAATTTTATGGTATAAAGTTCGAACATATATAATGACTCCTGTGCAAATTTAGCTTCATATCTCAAATATTTTTAGGATATATTTCTTTTGATTTAAATATATATGTATTTTTAAATGTATTCATTTTTTTTAAATTTCACATTGCCTGCTGTCTTCAAAGTCGATGCCTGGTTAGAGATTAGGTCATTATCATAGAATCACTTCCACTAAAGTGCTGTTTCTTATCCCGTCCAGTAGCTTCAGAGCTTCCATTAGTCGGGGTCAAGAGAAATTAATTTGTCTTGTAAGACTATAATTTTTGTGGGGATTTTTTTTCCTCTTGATTCAGCCTAAGTAGTATTAAAAGCATCTTTCTGACTTAAATGAGGCTTTATTAAACATATGATTACGCTTTGCTACAGAGAGCTAATATCTTTCAGCAGACTGTGGGATTTTTCAGTCCGATTGGACTGATGGCACAGTGAAGATGTTTTGTTCTGAAGATTAATGGATTCTTCTCAAATGTCCTACACATTCTGGGAACATCCACTGCAATATTTCTGTACACACCTAAAAATACACATACCCCCTAAGTGGGTCTAGCATACCCATTTTGGGCATACTGAACTAATTTTAAACATTAGTTCAGGATGTAATGGTGCTTGGTGAATAGTCCCTGAGGGGTTTTCTATGCGCAGAGTTCAGAGATATTTCATAATGAAGTGAAAATTTTCTGTTTTTTGTTAAGTGTATGTAAAAGCTTAAATTCAAAATGTAATGTGTTTAGTTGGCATACTGTCATCATGAAATTTTAAAACCTACACTTCTGTGTTGCAGTTACAAGGCAACAAAATATTTAAACCTGTCATTTTAAACAGTAGCTGCAGTCCTAACCTGTGAAGCTAAGGCTGTAATATAAACACTAATGTGCTGTTTTCACATCTTTCTTCAAAATTCCTCATGACCAACCACCTTGCTGTCGTCCGTTTCCAGCTGTGCCCCATAAAATAGGACGCATCATCGAGGGCAGCCCGGCCGACAGATGTGGGAAGCTGAAGGTGGGCGACCGGATCCTGGCAGTGAACGGACAATCCATTATCAGCATGCCGCATGCAGACATCGTCAAGCTCATTAAAGATGCTGGACTAACAGTCACTCTGCACATCATACCAGAGGAGAGTAAGTGTTTTGGTGCGGCAAATAAAATCAGACGTTGTTCAGTGAATGTTTATTTGGCTCCTGTTTTACCTTTGCAGGAAACTCCCTGAACTCGGTGCCCTCTATCTCATATGAATATATTTTATTTCACTTCGCCAAAGAAAGTCTTACACACACAAAATGTTGCATTTACTGAGGTTAAAAAGTCAAAAGGCTTCTATATTTAGTCATCTATAAAGGATACAGGGTTTGTGCTTGGTGATGCAGAAACATAAATATTAGAAGGTTTTTTAGCAAATGGAGCAAATAATTCAGAAGAGTTCTCTTCTGCAATCTTAAACATCCTGAGCATGTTTTATTTGTCAATCCATTCAATTCACTTTTTATTCAAAGCTTTGTCAATCGGGTACAATCTTACCTAACCCTCTGTCCATCGCAGGCTCCCATTCTGGTCCTAGTTCAGAGAAGCAGAGCCCCATGACCCAGAAACACAGCCCGCAGACCCAGCCCAGTCCTGTAGCCCAGACAAGCCAAGGAGGCACGCAGTCTGGCCAAATGGTCGCTCAGCCAGGTCAAGCACCCGGACAGACACCAGTCCAACCCGGCCAGACACCAGCTCAGACAAACCAAGCGGTGACTGGTCCTCCTGCACCAGCAGGAACCCAGCAGAGCCCAGTCACGCAGCCATCTGGCCCCCATCCACAGCTCTACCTCCACGATGGCAGGTAAGGCTGGGTTAAGAGGGTGTTTGGTAAGATTTGTTAAAAAGCACACAGAATGACTGAAAGGAGGAGGGGCATGAAGTTCACAGGTGACAGATACCAAATTGTGCATGCTGAAGAGAGTGTCCCAGTCAGTGTAGCAGAAAACCTGTGACTGCAGACAACTGATGTCCCAGTCAGACACTCTGTCTCAGGCTGGTTTCTACCCAGTTGCATAACACCACTTAGCTTCTACAGTGTGCAGTGAATAATTTACTTTAAGGTATCACCTCTATAATGCAGGATCCTAGCAATTGGACCCTGCTGTGTGTCAAAACTATGAAAGCGTGAGTGTGCGCGCACGCAAGTCTCAGAATGCGACACTGTGAGCAGTCCTCCCAGAGCTGTGGGTTGATGCCCATTTTGCAAGTGTGAACTTGATAAAAGTTTCATAACAGAGGCTGATATTCCCACCTATCCATTTTGTGATGAGCCTTCTCATCTGCACACACCCAGTAATTGTCTGTTTTTTTTTTTTCCTTCCTTACATCTCCAGTGTTACTTCACCAGCAAATGTATTCCAACAGGGATGCTTTTTTCACCTCGCTGCTCAGATTTTTGTCAACTTTTCATTCTCATGGCAGGTCAGAGGTAAAAGCGAGACAGGATGTCAAACCTGACTTCCGCCATCCTCCATTCACTGACTACCGGCAACCGCCGGTAGATTACCGTCACCCACCAGTGACTGATTATCGGCAGCCACCAACACTGGACTACAGACACCCACCTGGTCTGCTGGATTTTAGACAGCACCCTGCAGCTGCACAGTTCCCTCTAGGGATCCCAGCTGACTTCAGACCACAGGTAGAGCTTGACCAAGAGCTGTCTGCTTATGTTGACCGTACATCCTTCATTTGTATGCAGGTTTGTAACTTATTCCAATTATATTTATCATAATCATTGCTTTTCACATAGAAATCGCATATTTGATATTTTTCTGTTGTAAATCGTCGACATTTTGTTCTGCAGGACTATGATTACTTTACAGTGGAGCTCGAGAAAAGCGCTAAAGGTTTTGGCTTCAGTATTCGAGGAGGCAGAGAGTACAAGATGGACCTGTTTGTGCTGCGCCTTGCAGAGGATGGTCCTGCTATACGAAATGGAAGGATGAGGGTGAGATAAGGAAAACCACGACAAGAGTGAAAGCACTCTTTGGCAGATGGTTGGGATTGCACTTGGTGAATAGTAATGGCTCTGTTTTATTTTTGAAAATGGAAAAAGTAAGTCTGATTAATCCAAAGTAAGTCAAACACACACACACACACATCCATCTAAATGGTCGTGTCACATAATATCACTCAGCGTCCTTGTTAAAATTTAGTAATGGTGTAAAGTTTAACAGAGCATGGATTTTTCCTTCTGCTCAAGTGAGTAAGTATGAATGCATTGAGTAAATTGAGTGAATTGAGCAAACCTTTTGCTCACTCTTAACCACTCATGTTGAAATGTACTTGAACAAGGCTCTTAATGGCGCTCATTCCCAAGTTGCTCAGTGGAGGTTCCCCAAGAGAAGACTGGTTCTGTGGAAAAGTTACTCTGCTGTGAGTAAACCGAGGGTGGCAGAAACTGACCCGCTCCTGTGTGTGTCTCGTCCAGGTTGGAGATCAGATCATAGAGATTAATGGAGACAGCACCAGGGACATGACTCACGCCCGCGCCATTGAACTCATCAAAGCGGGAGGCAGGCGGGTCAGGCTGCTGCTAAAGAGAGGCACAGGACAGGTGCCAGAATATGGTGAGTTTTCCTTACAAAGAGACGCAGTCTCATTGTTTACACTCTTACTAAAGATTTACTGTTTGCTCTTCAACTTAACTCAAGAACACATTAACATGCATTCATATCTGTCCACTTTTTACTCCTCGACTAATATCTGAAAGCCTACTTTGATTAAACAGTAGATGGTAACGAGCGACTCTCAAGCCTTCGTGTGTTGTAACCCCTCTGCTTTAAGTCTAATGATTGGTATAGGCTTTTATTTGCCTTCCCTCAGGAATGGTACCTCCCAACCTCTCCATGTGCATGAAAGGTGACACACTAAGCTCCCCCTATTTCTTCCTAATGGGCCACTCTAAAGACACGGTTTGTGAAAACTGCATGTCTCTCTCTCTCCATACTGATTAATCTGTGTGCTATAACTGTGGTCACGAGTTTTTGCATGGGAAAGTAGCTGACATGTGTGCATCTGTGCTCGTGTGTAGTAGTAAGAGTGGAAGATGGTTTGTAGTAAACTATTGGGTCTAATTGTCCTGAAGAGGGTTTTGAAGTAGACTTTGTACTCGAGAGCTGCTCGGGATCAGTCCGTCACACACAGCTGCAAATATGTTAACTGTTTACAAGCACTGAATAAATCCTTACACGTAAGTCTGTTGCTGTGCTGCTTATACACATGTGCATGCAAGTTTGTCTGATATTATAAAAGAACGTGTTTATCTCTGGGGTGTTTTCCCTTTCTTTCTGTGTCTGTATGCATGTGCATGATCGTTTCCACCTCTTTCATATCAGTCCTCTTGAGCATATTGTTTTCCTCCCTGACAGACTGTGCCGGCCCCTGGGATTCCCTTTCTACAGCCCACTCTGCCCTGCAGGAAGTGACCCTGGAAGCTCACCTGAATCCATTGCTCTCATCCCATCCATCGTCAGCCCCAGATTCCCCTCATCGGCTCCCTCTAGAGGCCACAGTGTGCATGGCAGACAAAGCTCCAAAGCTGACAGACCACAGCTCCATTAGAGGGGCTGCAGGTGGCAGGTCCACCGAGCAGAAATGCATCATCAGGGGACAGGGAACTCCTCAGGGGTCGGGAGAGATGGACTGTGGACCGGGCGACAGACAGCTTCGTGCTTTGCCTTCCAAAGCTATTGTGGGAAAGTGCATTGACAGAAGAGAGAGGCAAAGGGAGACTTGCTCCCCCTGCTGTAAGAGAAAGGATCTGCATACACAAGCGTTAAGCACTATCTGGCCCTGGGACCCATTTGCTGGTGTGAATTTGAACGGAGCCTCTCAGGGCAGTGGAGATGGACATATCAGCCTCCAGGAGAGGCTGGTGTCCCGAGGTCTGTTCTCCAGAGAAGATGAGCGGGCCGGTGGCCACATTGGGCTCTACTGCCCCTCCAAAAACGTGGAAGATCCTCCAACAAGGAGTGCTGCTGCCTCCCCGAGGCCCTGGAATGTCCCTGGGTCTGACAAACTGCCTGGCACCCTGAGGTCCTGGACCTCCACAGTAAGCAGGTAGAAGGGATCTTACTGGTTTGGGCCGAGTCACACTGTATGGCTCCTCATTCGGTTCACCACTGGACCTTTCAGAGAACCAGTAGATCTCCCTTGCCGCCTCTGTCTGCCCTGTTTTCATCGCCATCGACTTCTGAGATCATGTTTTATATTTCAGTTGTTGTTACAAGATGATTATTACACCCACCACCTTAAAGACAAAGAAACTTACACAGCTATTGTAACATATGGTCTAAACCTTTGGGGACCCTTTTATGCGACTTCTGATTTTCTGATCACAGATGGAGCAATGACGCCCGACTCTGTGGAGTGGAGCTGTGCTTTCGATACGTACCTTTAAATGCTCGACTGTATCTGGTTCAGACTGTTTAGTGCAGCGTGGGCTCACACAAGGAAGAGAAACATATGTAGAACCAGGAGATTTCTGTTTTCTTGCCCTGTTTTCTCTGCGCAGTGGGATGAACCAGACTACAGGTGTGTCAGATGGAAGCAGTGACACTGAAACTCCTGGAACACACGGCACTGACCCCAACCACAGCCCAGTTAACCTGACATATATTAAATCGCACATGCCTACCAATATATCTCATACTATAAATGTAAAGATGTGAAAAATATGTACATTTGGTAAACTCAGAAACATACCTATTGGTGTTTTTGAGGCAGTGTTGTAGTTAGACACATTGTTTAAAAAAAACAAACAAACAAAAAAAGAAGCAGGACAGTATTTTAGGATCACTGTTTCCACGGCCTCGTCTAAAAACTACATATCAAAGACTGTGCGAGTCACCACACCCGGACCGCCGAGGCAGGCGGCGTTTGTGTGCATGGATATACACCACCATGTCTTTAGACAGGGACTCGTGTCTTTTAAAGGCAGAAAATCGAGATGTGGAGCAGACCGGTCGGCACTCATGAGACGAAAAGGATTTTTTTTCCCCACGAAATTGAACAAAATTGAACTTTTGTGTAACTGAGGACAGTTGGCTTAGTAAGAACTCATGATACTCTTCTGAGTTATGTACACAACTTGATCACAGTCAACCATGCAGTCATTGTGCAGAATTATAAGCTGTGTTGTATTCATTTTAATGATCAAAAGGAAAAATTTGTCCAGTCTCTATTTCCCATTTCTATGCCTTTAACTGTGCTAAGTGTACCACATCACTGTGGGAGAGGGGCATCGGTGCGGGGAAGAGGAGGCCGATGGTTATGAGGTGGGGCAGAGTGCCTTACTCGAACTAATGCAGAGCTGTTGCCGTTGTGAAGTATTTTGGGAACTGAATGCAAAACAGATATCAGCGACCATGCACACGCGTCAGCAAACCGCTGAGTTTCGTCGGACGCCAAGCAGTATATATCTTGATGCACTCGGCTGTATAGCTTGTCAGTGTCAATGATTGCCCTTTGTCCCCTTGTGTTTTAAAGGGGATAACATGTAGCCTGTAGCATCACATCCTCTTCTTAGAGTCGTCTGGGAGTGTAGAGCTGTGAACGTCTATGGAGACAGGGCTGTATCAAAGAGGACCACGGTTTCTGTGTTTCAGCTTAACGTTAAGTTTGTATTCTTGCCCGCAAATGTCACATCTGTGAAACATACATGCATTTAAATATGACGTCACTGTCCTCCTGCATTTCTCCATTTCGATATCATCAATTTCTCTCAGCGGGATGTGTGCTCTTTATTAAAACTTTATCACTTAAGCTTTTGAGTACTGGAGGACCAGATTAATTTAAAAAAAAAAGATTGCGACTGTTTGACTGAATGCAACATGATGGTACATCCAAGCTGTGCTCGTAAGCTGCTGGGAAAGCCAGGCACCTGCAGACTGGGATACTAGCAGGACTTTGTGCATTGAGAGTCATCGGGCCTGATCCTGATCCGCGGTGGATTCTGACTGAGCTGTGTGTTCTGTGATTAAAATGGTTGTGGAAAGACGCAGTAGGCTGTAGAAACGTGTTTGCCGTATGTACAAATGTCAAAGTTAGGAAACGCTGAAAGAATACGTCATCCAGCCCTCTGTCTCCATCCAGGCCGCCCCCACCCCCACCCCTTGCCTGCTGTGACCGATTTTTGTATGAAGAAACAAAAAAAAATCTGCTTATCAGAACCTGTGAAGGATGGCACGCTCATAAACCCCCACTGAGATCAAGTATAACTGTGTAGTGTTAATTGTGTACTATTCACCTTGTACAGCTGTATTCCTACAAATATGGTTTACTGTATCATTGATACTGTAGTTTCAAAGACGTGAACAACTATTTTTATGAAATGCGACAGTACTGATATATTACATTTTGCTAAAAAACAAAACTTGTTTACTGAAAGATATTCTGAAATACTGTCAAATAAACTCTTGACATGGTGTAAAATATTCTTTTCTACAGGTTCTTGCTTGTAAAATTGGGACGAGAGAAAATAATGGATCAGTTTATTCATCAATGTATAAATAATCAACAATTTGGGTTATTAAGTAGTCGTTTACCCAAACAAAACAGCAAATATTCACTGCAGTTAAGCATCGCTATTGAGGAGTACTAGGTGAGGGCTAGTTCTTTTAGGTTCAGCAGATAACAAGATGGTGTATCGGTCAGGATACAGGAAGGAGGACAAGAGGCTTCCACTTTGCTGGATTGTCACCGCCAGCTGTTTTATTGCCACCTAGATGGTCAGTGTTGCCAGCAGTTTCCAGTCATGAACTTAACACTCGGAGCATCACCGTGAAGGATGGCAACCAGGAACACAGCTTGATGAGGTAAAACAGACCTAACACGGAAAGACCATCTCCCCTCCTGGAGTAGCAGGATGAGCATTTTAGAAAATTTCTGCATTTATATTTGACTCTAAATGATCTGTTTTCCTATTTATTCTTATCATGGATATGCCTACGTCATTTCCCGCAACTCCACCCCACACAATATTGCAGAGCAAAGACATAAAATCTCAGAGCCTTTTATACAATCACTTTCAGCCATTTTTTTTTTATTGCTAAATTGTGTGTGCCGTTTATTTAAAAGAGCAACCAGCAATCACAACACCGCTGGCTCTGAGACTTTCAGCACTTCCAGCCATAGACGGGTCAGATTGTAGCAGGATGTACAACACAGTTAAATGCAGACAGTGAACTTAAAACTTATTTTCCCACATCAGTTTCCTATTTAACCAATGTCTCCAACAAACACTCTTATACTTTTCACACAATTCCACTTTAAAAGCGACACACATCCATCCATCAACGCTTCTCTGGTGGAGCTAATCCCAGCTGCCATCGGGTGATAGGCGGGGTATACCACAGACAGATCACCAGGCTATTGCAGGGCTAATAGTTACGTCCATTCGCGCTCACATATACACCTACGGCCCATTTAGAATCACTGCTTAACCAAACCTGCATGTCCCTGGACACTGGGAGGAAATCACAGGGAAAAGATCCAGGCTCAGCTCAGTTAGCAGATGGATTTAAACCCAGAACCCCAATACCCGTGCACACGTTTCTCCCTTTTTGCATGTGATGAGATGCATTTTAGAGCGGGGCACTGAGAAGTTGTTCCATGTCCCTGACAGGTTTAAGTATAACATTCACTTCTGTAAAAAGGCTGAAGTATGAGGAAGGGGCCCCACAGCAGAGGGAAGTGAAAATGTGTTGGCCTGCAGGTATCTTTGCAGTAAATCTAATCAATTCTACAACATTTATCTAAGAATTTCTGCTTTCCATCTCTCCAGTGATGCTGACACGTGACAAGTGGAGGTACTGACTACAGTCTTTCATAAGTAGATGAATCACTGCTTCTGGTTTGTGGAATTACACAGTTAAAACAGATACAAATGCACATTTTTAACAAAAAGGGGAACATTTTATAATAAAACTTGTAAACATCTCCCCAGCATGTCATTGCTGTCTGTGGGTAAGGCCAAGATTGTGAGCATCTGCTGTTACTCAGTGTAGTTTTCAGCAGGAAGCTGAGTTTCACTGCTTTCCTGCGCTGGCAGGTCATCCTTCTGAGGAAGGAGAAAATAAGAAATTAGCACCACTAAAAAAAAAAGAAGAAAGAACTAAATTGCTCTTGTACTTGTTTTACTTCTGCGTTAACTTACAGGTTTGTAGATTCCCATTTGGAAACGACAGCAAACTACATCAACCAAGAATCCCACCAAGCCGTGGATCATACCTGCCGGGAGAGAAAAACTTTAAATACTGATGTTCATGTTCAGGGTTTAGATGAGGTGAAGGCAGCTTGGTCTAAGTTGTTACCTGCTGCTTTTATGCAGTGGCTACATCTGTGAATAATGCATAAAGTTTTTCTCTTCATCCAGGTGGATTAACAGCATTCATTTAAGAATGATGGTTCACAAACAGAGTCACAGGATCCTCCAGGGCTTAGTCTTGGCAGGAACACCATGTTTGGGATTACAACATTCAGGTACTTCTGCTGTTAAGCTGAAGACTTCTATGAGAATACTTGGATCTACTTTGTTAAATTACATGCAAAGATCTCACATCCTGCTTTACTGGTTAAAGGGGCACTCTAAAGCTTTTTGTTATAATAGCCAAAGTATCAATGAGATCAGCCTGTGTACAAATGACTCCTTCAGACTTTACTGAACTGTTTCTGTTCTGCTCTTGACCCTGTACGATATCAGTGAGATCTTAGACACAGAAACTCCACCCACCTGCTGTTTAATCTCTCTGGAGAGGCTGCGAGGTGCAGCCAATTAGAAAAAAATGGCTTAAAACTGGATATGGGAGCTAAAACCACTTAACACAAGTCGACAACATGAGAGGTTCCACTATAAGATAAATAAGTATTCATTTGTACTGTGAATCGTGCAAAGCTAAAGTATAAAAGTCTATACATGAGCATAATAAGAGCACTTTATGATGGGAATTTGTTAGTATGGTTCTTGCATTATAGCATGATTTAATCAGTTAACTTGCAAGGAGCGGTTGTCATGAAATGCTTGTAAGCAGCTCTGACATTCAAAATCTATTTTCAAAGTTTTAAAGGTTAGTGTATCTTTTGACTTTCCTCCTATAAAGATGTGACGACCTCCCCTGTACCCTTGATGACGAGTTTTGACACGTCAGTATACGTCAACAATGTCGTGGTTTGACGATCATTAGAATAACTTCCAGGTTTTTCCAAGGGTAGCTGCATAAACAGCACCGCAGTAACTTCTTATCGACATGCAGTGATTTTGTTCTATAAGCAGGCTGAAATATGACCAAAACAACTCAGGTCAGAAAAGAGCTTCAAGGGTTACTCCTGTTAGGCTTTCAAGGGGTAAAGGGTTAAAGCTGTTGCTGCTGCTTGATGCCTCCTTGTTCTGAACAAACAATCACTGTGACCTCCAAGTTGGTTTTCAGTCAGGAGAGCAATCTGAAAATGTTACTGCAGCACACTCTTAATGCAGACGGCACTCAAACAGCATGAGCACGTTAGCTACCTGTGGTGGAGAAAATGCCTCCGATGATGCCGCAGAGTCTGACGAGGAACTGCCACAGAGGCATGTGCTGCTCAGTGACTTTGACCATTAGTGAGCTGATATCATATTTCATAAAGATCCCTGAGACTCCGTGGCTGCCTGCAGCATGGTTTATCACACGTTCCTGTGGGACAGCCAAAGGCATACAAATGCTTTCAGTACAATGATGCACTATCTACTCCCCAGCTAAAACAGTACAAACCCAGACCTACCCGCTCAGTGACGGAGTACTGATGCGTGTCTGCAGACACTTTGTAGGTGTTCAGTTTGGTTGGCACAATGGTGATGAAGTACTGAAACATGTGGTTAGCTGGAAAGAAGCATCAAGAGCCATCAGTGGAAATAAAAGTTTATCAGAGCACTTTAATAACAAGTAATTCAACAACATCTGAAACACCAACTTACAATCAATAGCAATTTTCTCTGTGCCGTCCAGAGGGCTGATCATTCCAGGAAGTGGCTCTCCAAAGGACAGGTGGTCAATCCGGTGAGAGAAGTTGTAAGCTGTAACAAATACAAAACAATAAATAAATAATCTTTATAACATATAAAACAGTTTACTTTCCATGTGTTGCTGCCATTTGGTGTCAGAAAGTCTGCAAACCTACAGTCATGGCTGACGAGGGCGGCTAAATGGGCGTGACCTCGAGGATGCGGGATGGACCTGTAAGTGGATGAAAAGGTCAGCGTTAACTTTATATGTAAATCAATGACATGAAAACAGCCAAAATATCCCATGCTAGTGATCTAATTTGCAAACAGAGCAGCACAGAGGTGAGCAGAGGTTAGAGCACAGGTATCAAGGCCCCGACTCCAGCCCTTGATAATAAGATGGGAGCAAAACCAACTTCTGTGGGGAAATTTGTATTTGATAATCAATGTGCAAAACTATAAGCTTGCAGAGAGCAATGTCTCCTTTCCATATAGCGGTAGAAGCAAGTCATTTCAGTCTCTGTGATTCCCCTCCTCATAGCCACTGATGTCAATGCAACTTTCCGTCTCTCTTGATGGAAATGTGTTGAAATAGTTTTACAAATTGACTGGGATTCATCCCACATCAGCATAAAGAAGTACTGAACAGCAGAGCTGTGCGATAATCAAATTTTAATTTTAGCTTTCAGATTATTAAACCAAGATAACAAAAATCATTACTGTTCCATATTCTATTCATTTATAATTACCACTCCACAAAAGGCCAGATCCACTGCCTACAATCAATTACTTCATTCAGTTAAATTATAATTAAAGTTCGTGGAAATCCCCTTCACTGAAAAAACAAAACAAACTTCTACTGTTTTTCTGTCTTTGTTTTGTAATTGTGTTATAATTTGTGTTGATTTTTGCCAATCCTACTAGACATGTCTTGCATGCAGCTCAATAATCCAAGTGAGGAACTCCCAGAAAGTTAATTCTGTTCATTTAGATTTTCATCAGGCGAAGAGACTTGGATAAGTGACGAAACAGCATCCAGATGAACAGAATCAACTTTTTGGCAGCCTTACTAGACAGTCCGGACTGTGGTGACTGACACGTGGAGTCCAAAGACGATGCGCGCTCACATTAGGGCCATGCAGGAAGCAGTACCTGCTATGATTGTTTCTGTACAGTGGGAGGACGTTTACAGTCTATGGTTCAAAATAAAAAACTGTGTTAAATAATACATCGTTTTGAGTGTTACCTACTTGCCAACAGTAATGTGGAAATTTCCTGCCACCTTGTTGACATAGAGATGTCCATGGATCCTGCAGGCAGTCAGGGAAGCGGTGCCGTCCTCACTGCGGGGGGGAAACTTAAGCAATCAGCGTAATCGCACTTTCATTCACCTCCCAACAAAACACAGATAATCCTGAGGGTCCTTTACCTTTTTGTCTGAGCAGGA